AGTTGCTTTTTGAAGACTTCATGTATTTACATTCGAGCGGTAAAAAAGCTCGCTTTGGTGTCACTCGAGAAGAACAACAAGATCTGTTCACGGTTTCGGCCGATTACTCTTTGGCTCACTGTGTTGCAGAAGACCTAAGGATGTCCAGGGGAATAGCGGTTGTTTGTAAAAACAAGTTTGGACGGATTGACGGGCTACGAAGGCAGAATCCCAAAGTTGGAGAGGTGCTTGAAATTGTGAATAATGAGCAGATAGGCAATAGAAGTATCTTCTATCTGGTAACGAAGCAACTCTCCCATCAGAAGCCAAACTACCGTGACGTATGGAATGCCTTAAATAAATTGAGGGATGCCCTTTTATCCAAGGACATCATGAACCTGGCGATACCGAAGATTGCTTGTGGACTTGACGGTTTAGACTGGAGAATAATTAGAAGTATGGTGGAAGTTATCTTCAGATTTAGTGGCATACACATTCTTGTCTGTTGCCACAACCCTAAAAGAACAACCGGAAGGAAGACCGTAGACTGCTACTTCTATAGGACGTCACAATGCAAGTTTGGATCTCTATGCAAATATCGCCATGGAGCTGAGGACCATTTTCGGGACGAAAATGTTTTAAGACGGGGGCAATGTAGCGAGTACCGCCCTGGATATCGGAGTGATGACTCATCGCCGATTAGTCATTGCCGGTGAGTCATCGCCGGTGACTCAGCGCTCGAATAATCGAGAGTGTGGAGCTCGCTGGAATGTTCCAGAATACCTGGGCGCTGGATATATAAGAAACGGAGCAACACAGAGCAGTCAGTGAAGATTTGGTACTCGCGGCGAAATAAATAAATATAAGTGCAAATAAATAGACTCTTGAACAATAGTGATATAAATAATTAGTAGTTAAGTGTTTAGTTAGTTTTATAGTGTTTTAAGTGTAGTTAAGTGATAAAATAAATAGTTTAGTTCGTTAATTAACCAGTGAGTGTTTTAATTCACACTACGAACAGTTAAAAACGTTACAGTATAAACTTATAAAAAGACTTCTTTAGAATTTTCCGTTTTGGATATAATAATAATAATAAAGGACTTTATTGATTATAATACAGAATTACAGTTGTACAATATTTAAATACAGGGCGAGATTTAGTTCTTACACACTCCAAACTACTGCCTAGAGCATGTAAGTCTATTCTTACATCTAACCCTAAGGGAAAAACAAAACAGAAAAGAAATATCTAACAAAAATAAAAAAAAACAAAAATATTCATATAGCTACATAAATAATAAGTTATCTAACTAAGCGTCAATACATAATATTTCTGTGCAATTATCTTTTTACTAGTGTACCTACATAACTAGTGAAGAAGGAAACACGTAAAAATTGGATAAAGAGAGACTTAATAACTTAATAAAAACTATGTATATTCAGGCGTTTTTTAAAACACTTTCACGGATTTGGCTTTTGAATTGATGCATTTTTAAGTTAAAAGGGTTAAATTTTAATTTATTAAATAAGTTGGCTATTTGATACGAAAATGATCGTTTAAGCAATTCAGTGCTATGCTTTGGAAATGCAAGGGAGTGCTTATGACGCAAATTCAAATTGTGAATCTCTGAACGAAATTTAACTTTAGTGTAGAGGTAAGTAGGTTTTTGGTAAACTAGAATTTTAAAAAATGTAACTGCAGAATGTAGGTACCTACGATCTTCCATATTTAACCAATCTGTGTGCTTTAATGTATGACTAATGTGCTGGTTTCTTCGAATTCCATGTATTAGCCTGAGACAAGAATTTTGAATTTTTTGAATACGATTTTTGTCAAATAAGGTTAAACAAGGACCATATATTACATCACAAAAGTTAAACTGTGATAAAACCAATGAATCACACAGCATAATTTTATGTTTTTTACTAAGATATTCCCTACTTTGATATATAAAGTAGGGAATATCTTAGTAAAAAACATAACTAGGGTACTAATGAAGAAATTGCATACTGGATCGTTGCTTATTTGACATGTCAAGTTTATTTTATTAATTTTATTAATTTGTTAAATTGATTTTATTAAAATCATTTTAATAATTTGCTCGTATTCGCTTATTTTAGGAATTGCGATTACTTCGTCTCACTTTTGTTTAAATTCAAGCGGGCTCTTCACCGGCACCGATAGACGGCCTGTTTCGCTCTTTTGGAGCTCGTTAGTATCGGGTAGCCGTTTACCTAGGTCTAAGACTGTTTGGTATGGAGCACTCTCTAAATTCCACTTCGCCGCTTCTTATATCAAACACAAGCAGTTACAGCGGTGAGAAGAAAGTAATCGCATTAAAATGTCATACATGTGACGTCTCCATGTTGACTTCTAAAAGAGTTAATAGTATGATTTCATTTGGAAGTAAGAAAAAAGAATACTCTGTAATCTCAAAATAAATTGTTCAAAAAGAGGTCAAGAAAAGATCTTCATTTCTACGTAAAAAAATTGACTTCTTATTTATGAGTTCATTAACAGCTCAGAATTCTGAGCTCATTAAAAGGAGCTGTTTAAGACGTCATGTTATAACAGGACAGGAACTTACAATCACTACGATAGTATAGTACATATCTGGCCAACATTGAGACAAGCCTCGGTGCCTTGCCTAACAGAGGAAGGAAAAATAACCAATATAAGAGCCTGCCGCAACGGGGAATACACGCAAACACAACCCAGTCACCATCCAATTCAGAAAGATTTCAGTATGAAGTCTTTTAAACAACTTCGTGTGGAAGTTCTATAGAACTTATTTGGGGATGGAGCTAATGTCTTATGTCTGGCTTTTCTGTTTTGTTTATGTAATAATTTATGGGTTGTCTGTCTCTATAGGAATATTTATTTTCTGGTGCCAGTTGAGGTTCTTGGAAATTTACGTTTCGATGTATAATACGTTTTACATTTAGATTTTTTGGATTAAAATGGTTTTGTTATTAACAAAACCATTTTAATCCAAAAAATCTAAATGTAAAACGTATTATACATCGAAACGTAAATTTCCAAGAACCTCAACTGGCACCAGAAAATAAATATTCCTATAGAGACAGACAACCCATAAATTATTACATAAACAAAACAGAAAGACATGCAATTAGAAAAATTACTTAGCTTGATTATTAGGCTATAATCCTGATGCTTTGTCTTTCACGGACTGTCCGTTATTCCTTGACCTCGCCTGCAGGTTCTTGGCACGCTTTGATTGTGGCAAATCTCTGCTGTCCAGGTGAACCGGTTGGACCGGTTGGCTTATCGTTGTGGCCTAGCCTTAATTACCTATTCACTTACACACTTTTACGGCGTTAACCGGGGTCTTCCCGCACTTTTCGCACTTGTTTGTTTATTTATTTATTACCGATTACCGATTTTTCCGGATACTTAGATTCGTTTTTGGTATTTTACTACGTTTGTATCGTATACGCTGCTTAGAAGGGATCTCGTTAACTATCGTGACGCGTCCTACCACTTCAAGTGTCAAGACCCAACTGTATATATGAGGCCTGTCAGAGCAAAGTCAACAATCTCCCGTCAGACTAAAACTGAGTAAATTAAGATAATTGATTTTGGTATGTTAAATTCTAGATTTGTAATTTTTTTTATATATTATATTGAAATATTGTTAGTCTAGTAGCCAACTACAAGGTCTCCAGGATGCATACTATGCATTGCATAGTATAGGTAAAATCTATAATTATAAATTGAAGATGGCTGACTTTGATATGAATTGCTGGAGATTGCTCATTTTGTTGTAAACGTTTAAGAAGATTTAGAAAAATAAACAAAAAAATAATTGTATTTTTCTCCCTTTAATGGTTATAAAATTTAACTATACAATCAATGTGGGAAAATTCTGAACTGGACCACATAAATCTGGAGTTTCTTCTAAATCTGGGACCAGGTTGCCTCGTGCAATTTTTTTTTTATAGTACAACAACTCATTATCTCCTTCCCACTTTGCCCCGTAATGTTTTACTTGCAATGTTTTGACATTATCAGCCTTTTCTTGCTTTACCTTTACGTCTTATTATGTTATAGGAGCACAAAATAAACAAGATAACTTTTTTTATAATTCTTAAAACAATAAAACGTAGATTTACCTATTTTAAATATATTTTTTAAGAGCAATTTACTGCAATAGAACAGTATGTACCAGTAAAAAATACATAAAATTAAATCTCTAAAATACGTTATAACATCAAATGTTAGGATATCAGGTAACACAAATTACTAATTTCTAATGGTGGAATTGGATATTGTATACTTTGCTGCAAATCTATTAGTGGAGATTGTCGACTTTGCACTAAATGTCATTTTTAAAATAGGATTTTAGGCAGGGTTTAGCTCCTTTTGCAGCACATAAACTTAATCATCTTATAGATAATTAATTGAAGTATAGTCTCCGCCAAAAATTTAATTTTTGACCAAAAGTGGAGATTGTCGGTTTTGTTATGTATATGTGTATATATGTATATTTTTTAAATCTTAACATGCAAGTATGCACGATTATTTTAAGTTTGTTAAAAGCAAATGCATAAAAAATTGGCCATAATAAATAAAAAATAAAATAATAATTAAAAAATAAAATAATTTTAATTTTGTATAAAATATATTTTATTTTTATTATATATAATGCATATTATTAACTACAAATTTTTTGTGATGTTTCCCTTAAAACTATTTTTGGAGTTAACAAAACAAATCTAGTGACTGGCCTAATTTTTACTCCTGGATATACATTAAATTTAAACATCTATGCTCTATCATGTATCTGCAAATTTGAAATATTTTGTTATAATATAACATATATATTTTATATTTTGTTATATTATAACATATATATTTTATTATTTATTAATTCTTGTTTGTAAGATATACTGTGTAAACTAAATGTATTTTAATAATGTATTTATGTTTTTTTCTTCTAATATTCTAATATTTATATATTGACTTATCCTATACATATGTATTTATGTCTTTGGATTAATAATCTATCTATCTATATATGACCTACTTTTGTAATTAAATTAGTAAAAAATAAGTTGAAAAATCGAAACTTATAAGGTAAATTTTAAAATTTAGTTTCCCATAAATACTAGAGGATAAGGGTTTGTATCTTGGTCAATAGAATTGTTAACTGTTGGCGGCGAGGGCGGTCTCTGGTCAGGATCAGAACTACCCAAAAGCCAATATGTCGTCACGAATCCTTTGCCTTTTAATTCAACTTCACCTCTTAACTCTAACTTAAAGGTGCCAAAGGTATCCAGAATCTCTTTGGCAGCTTCACTCACATGAATTTTTAAAGCTAAAAAATAAATTTGTTATATTTTAATAAAACAACATTTTTTATATAAATACGTTGTCCAGTGCTTTCCATTCTGCTAGCTGTATTAACAGTATCGCCAAAAAGACAGTAATGGGGCATTTTTTGTCCAACAACACCAGCACAAACCGGACCAGAATGAATGCCGATTCTTAACTTTAGTTGGGAATCAGGTTGGTGGTGAATGGTAAAACATTTCACTGCGTCTAAGATCGCCAAAGCCATTAAACAAATTTCTCTGGAATGATGATCGCCATTTCTTTCTGGCAAACCTGACACTACCATGTATGCATCACCAATGGTCTCAACCTATAATAAAATATAAATAACACAAACCCAAAAAAGTTTTATCCCGAAACCAGACTATAGATTTTCTTCCGAAGGTCAGATTTTTATTAAATTATAGAATAAAAGTGTTAAAAAACCTGTTTTTATGCAATTAATTTTATATAATGTCCTTTTCGATATTGGTACTACTAGGTACTGTAAATACTTCTTACCGTTCAAAATTCATTTACAACTCTTCTCTCTCCTCAAAGAAATCGTCAGTTAAAATTTACGTTATTGTTAGTGCGGTGTTTTATTTCGCATCGACAGAAGTTAGGTGGCTCAAAATTTGTCAAGTGTGCCACTTAAAAATTAATTGTCTCATTTTTCATCGGGTTTCAATCGGTTTAGTGGTAAAAACAACTTTCCTAAAATATTTTTGCAATAGGTACTTAATAATTACATTTTTTGTGGATGTTTTTTTTTCAAAAATTGAATACTCCCGAACGGTTCAGACGAGCGCCCGCTCAGTTATCGCGTTAAGGCGGGCACTGACTTGAGCCGAGCTTTGTAATGTAATGCTCAAGGCGAGCATTACATCATTTACTCAATGATTACATTACAACGCTCGAGCTCAGATCGTTTTCTTGGTGCCGCGAACGCTCATTTTGAATGCTCTGCTTAACAGTGCTCCATTTAGTCAGTTCCGAAATGGCGCGCACTGACTTGTAATGTAACAATCAAAGGGATTCGCTAAAAAACCGACACTCAAGTGGAGCACGGATGCTCCGTTCGCCGCTCGCCGTTCGCGTTCGCTTCGCGCTCGTTTATAGGCACTGACTATCGAATGTTCATGTTACATTACATTACATTACAACGTTCAGTTGCAAGTCAGTGCCCGCCTTAAAGGCGGTCAGTGCCCGCCTTAAAGGCGGTCACAAAAATATTTATAACTTTTGACCTAATAGCAAAATAATAACTTTTTTTTACCAAAATTTGTAAAATCAAATAAAATGTGAAAAAATTTCTTAGCAGGCGGAGAAGTTTTATTAATTTTCAATTGTTTAAAAAAAATAGTTTAATTTTTTTTAAGGCTTGCTCCTAAAAATTTTTTTTTATCGTAAAGTATATTTTTCAATGAAAATTTTGATATAAAAAATGTTAAGCTTTGATAAACCGTTCGGGTGTAATCAATTTTTGAAAAAGAACAAGTATACTTGTTATATATTGTAAAAATCGATTTTTTGAAAAAATATTTTAGGAAAGTTGTTTTTAGTCCTAAACCGTTTGAAAATCATATTAATCGATGAAAAATGAGACCATCAATTTTTAAGTGGCACACTTGAGAAATTTTGAGCCAAGTAATAATATTACCTAACTTCTGGCGGTGCAAAATACATATTATAAATTATCCAAACATTTTAAATTCGTATGTAGAGCGCTCGCTTAGCATAAATATGATTTGATTGATTTGATTTTGCTTAGCATGCGAGAGGTACCGGGATCGATGCTCGGTGGTCACACAATTTTTTTTATTCTTTTATGTTAAAAAGTGTTGGGTTGGGTGTTGGTTTGTTTTAGTTTTATAAATACCCCCCTAGTTTATCAGATTTTTCCCTAGATTTTTTTAATTTAAGTTTTTTTAAATTAAGTACAATTTTAAAAAGATTATGTGGGGTATTCAAATAAAAGTTGTGATTTCAAGTTTTATAGGAGAACTCCTTTTTCTATGGGAGAACCGATTAAAGTTCACGCGGCATAGGCGTTTGTGTAGTAACGCTTGACTTTAAAAATTAGTACAATATAGATAAGCAAATTCTATGTGGGTCTTTCAAAAGATCGTTTACCACTCTACTTAAAATAATCTCGAAAATTGGACACTAATTCCCTTTTCTCGGATCTCGTCACATTTGATTTATCGTTCCGATTTAATTAATTCGTGATTCATCCAGAATTTTCAATATGAAACACAATTTTTGGATACAACGCTTTCGGGAAATTTCTGGTTTAAATGGTTGATCAAATATTTATTTATTTATTGAATACTTATAATTATTTAAATAATATTTATATATATTATAATTAATTATGTTTCCATACAAACCTTGTAGACATCATAGAAGCCTATAATTCTATCAAAAGTACTGTATAGGTCGTTTAGAAAGTCAACGACCTAAAAACATGGATAAAATTACATTTTTTAAAATTACACATTTTTTTGTTCTTACCTGCATTGGAGAACTTTTGGCGCATAAAGCAGTAAACCCAACAATATCGCTAAAGTAAATGGTAACGCATTCAAATTGCTCAGGTTTTACCAGTTCACCGATCATTAATTGTTGGGCTACGGGTCTTGGAAGGACTTGGTATAAGAGTTCCTCGGATCTACGTTTTTCCTGGGTTAGCTGGTCGGTTTTTTCGCTTACTAAAACTTCCAAGTTATTGGCGTATTGCTCCATACGTCTGAGAAGATCGTCCATAAGGTTTTCACAATATCCTCTGAAAATTTGTGTTTTATTAATCCAATAACTTTCGTCTTTTAAAAAAATTTTATTTGTCAAATTTCCTAGAATTCTATTTTTATTTTTTAAGAAATGGTGTTTTTTCATCTAAGAAAAGGTTTGTTTTTTCAACATTTACTACAAAATACTAAAACTGAAAGTTTTTTTCATAGACTGGTGTAAAAATAAAAAATTGCGATGAGGAGGATCTCACTATTAATATTAAAAGCTCATGCGTAAATAGGCTTATTTTGAGGTGTCCAGCAACAAGTTTTTTTATTTCAGAAGTAAAAAAAATGAATGGTGTGCCTACTATTCAAAATCATACAATTTCTAATAAAAACTCACGGGCTACTTTGGAAACAGCAAAGGTTATTTTTGTCACATCAATGAATAATGCCAGCTTGGCACTTCCATGAACTATAGCGAGCAATATTCTGCATATTAAATATTAATTCCAATAGTTTATAGAGCGCGCTCCAGTAATCCGCGGATTACTGGTCTGCGCATCAATGGTTACTGCTTTTTTTTTCGTGTAAATTTACACAATTAAAGGACCTTTAATCAATGTAGTAAACGCTGATTATTCAAATGCAAAACTTACAGTCTGGAATTCTAATTTTACTTTTAGATAAACATACGCCTCTGTGGAATAAGTCAGGCAATGGCTTAAACAATTTATAACCTTTTTATTTTCTTATATTTTTTTTGTGACTTTTTAGGATACATTTTAAAGATAATCGATTGATTATCAACACCCATCGAAGTTTTAATGTTAGACAAGGCTCTTCTTTTGTAAATTTAAAAAAATATTGCATTTTTAAAGTCATTGCGTGACTGTAACAAGAATATAAACAGAACAGTAGTAGGAAATTTTTAGGAAATTCCTAAAAGGAACTAATCTGCCCCACTCGCTGCGAGGCAGAAAGTGTAGGGGAAAGGGAGAATCAATCAGTTTTTGATTGATCAATTTAAAATTTTTAAGTGCAATTTAATTTAAAGTTTACCTTATATAAATTATGGAATTGGCCGTGACTTAAAATTTAATAATTTGGTGACACAATTTAATTTATAAAAAGCACCTTTTCTCTTTATACTGTGCATGTACTTTATGTTTATTAACATTAAAGTAATTTAAGCAATTTGACCATATTTAATATTCAGAAAATTAATAATAAATTAGTCGTTTACAAGCAAACCGGGCCGAGAAGTATTAATGGTACTGAAAGAAGTTCTTGAAATATAATGTAATGTGTATCTATTATTTGAAATAAGTAGTTATGTATTATTGGTGATTTTATACATACTTCATAATATTTCTTAGGTTTAGACGTATGGATTCAAAAAGCGGTCTTTCCTCGGGGTTATCATTCCAGCATTTTTCCATTAATTCTACCAGTTCCTCTGGACAATCGCTTTGGCTTACCGCCGGTCTAAATGGTGGGTTTTCTCTTGAAGCTACTCGGGATATAATTTCTATATTTAAAAATAGCTTTGTTAAAATTTTACCAATGAATTTATATGATGTATTACCAGATGTTTCCAAAAATTGTCTAGCAGCTTCATATGGACCCCCTCTAACAATTATCTCCTCCAAAATAATTGCAAAACTGTAGACATCACCTTTTTGGGTGGCGGGATTTCCAGGAATTATAGTTAAAGGAAGCAGTTCAGGTGCGACCCAAAGCATTTCTTTAATAAAACGTTTAAAATTATAATTTGAAACAGTTTTAACTTATTCTGTTTTTTTGTATACCCATTAAAGTTTAAGTGTTATACATTTTGGTCTTAATTTTATTGTATTGTTATACATTTTTTATTTAAATAATTATAAACTTAAAAGAGTACCTATACAAAAAAGAAAAGAAAAATAGAAATACATTTATTGCTAATTTTGTGTTTTTTATGGTCTTAAACATATAAGTTTAAAACGAAGACAAAATAAACATGTATACATGTTTATTGTATACAAAGCCACACATTGTATTTTGTTGTTTAATAAAACTTACTTCTGTAATAATTAGCATCTTTGGCAACTTCAGTGGGTACAATCAGAGAAGGCAAACCAAAATCGGAAATCTTTAAAACAAATCTTCCATCAATAAGGCAGTTGCAAGATCTAAGCTTGCCGTGAACCGTCACCTCACTGCCGTGCAAGTAACTCATGCCCTGAAAAACATTTCGGGTTTATGTTTTTCTTTTGCTTGACCTTCAACTTACCTTAACTATATCGTAGATTAAAGACATTCTAAAATTCCAATCCAGATGAATAGCTTCGTTTTCCAGAACGTCTTTTAGACTACCTTTTGGGCAGTATTCGGTCAGAATTATTACTGTTGGGCATTCAATGCAGGCTCCGAGAAATCTTACTGTGTTTTCATGGGTTACATCTCTTACCTAAAATTATTTCTAGGTAGAAATATTAAACTTCAGGAATAATAACGAAATCTATTTCAAAATAATAATTTGTACAGCCCTCTAAAGACCAAAAAAAGCGAGCCCTGGTTAGTTAGCTGACTAACCAGGGTTACCTTTTCCCTTCCGCATCACATAAGGGTAATTCAATTTATTAGCCACCAATGAGTGCACCTTATATCCTCTAATTTTATTTCTTTTTTAAATGTCAATAGACAAGGACCCAAGAAGTAAAAAAACTCACCTTTTCTTTTCTCCCCCCTTCACCTATTTATACAGGGCTATGCAAAAGTTACTGTGCAGACCTAACTTTAAAAAATTGTACTTCTTTTGCTAATAAAGCTATCGACATTAAACAAACTGTTAATTGTTAAGAAAATATTTCTCTTTTAAACCATATAGGACACATTTGATGTCCTAAATGGTCTTTGGGAATTAAAAAAAAATGCAATTTTTTTTGTTACCAAAGACCTTACTCTATAAAAAAGCAATGAAAACATTTTCAAATAATATTGGCTAAGAGTTCAAAAAAAATAATAAAATTTCATGTTTTCGAAAAATGCTATGTTTGAGTGAGTCGATTTAAACCAATTTATGCTTATCATCACATGTACTTATTAGCCTCCAATAACCATGAATAAAATTATTGTGTATTTTGCTTTTAACTGGTCTGTGGCTGTATCATCTACAGCCCAGCTATAAGCAAAATACATAATATGCCCACCGGACTAAATCCATAATATGGATTAAAATATTATTAATTTTATTATTATAATTTGGATTATATTAATATAAATCCATAATATTATATTAAATATATATTTTATAAAAAAACTCGGTAGCAAGACTTGAATTGAGTTCTAATTAGTAAGAGACAATTTTTAAGATTTTGTTTTAATAATTAAAATATTTTTAAGATATTAAAATTTTTACCTTTTGTAAATAAACAAAAACTAAAATAATAAATTATTAAATTGTAATTATTTGCGGAGGCGAAAGCCGAGGCAAATAACCACGTGAGTGATAAAAAATGACTTTAATGCCGAGGTGCAAATTTCCGAAATCACATTTAATAAAACTAATAATTAATATTGATGATTAAATCAAATGTCATTTGATGATCAAATCAAATTTCATTTGAAAGTATGGTGTCTACGTATACTGTTTGTTACGACGGTTATTACATATTCGCCCGCCGCGGCGATTTTTTGATCTAATTAATAAAATTAACTTATTATTTTTATTAAAAAAGTAAAGTTCTAGTTTACTGCCGATTTCTTTTACTTTACTGCCGATTGTTAACTACTTTACTGCCGATTTCGGATAAAAATAATTGAATCTTGTACTAAGGAGGAAAAGGATTTAATAGAATGGGGAGTGGATGCAACTGTAACCGATATTTGTACGTAGGTATCACAAATTAAAGTACCTATAGGTAATATAATATAGATATATCTATATTATTTTACAAAAAATTTTGGTGAAGTCTGCTGCGATCCATTTAAACCCCATAAGTAGTTAATTTATTCCTCTTTATAGACATTATTATAATTTTCCGATTCATATAACTTTTTAGAGGTAAAAAATAGTAAATAGGTTTTTTAGGTGATTGTAAAAGTTAAGAATATAATTTGTTCAGTTTAATTATATCATTTGTTCAGTTTAATTATATGCATTCATTCTTTGACTTTGACTTGTCCAACAATGTAATATTGGAAAAAATAAATAAACTAAAACTAAACTAAACTAAAAGTTTTAGTCTAAAACTAAAACTAATTCAAATTTACGATTTAATTAATACCTGTTTTGTTTTGTCTAAATATAAAGTTTATGAAAAGTATGTCTTTTAGTCATTTAATTAAATTTTTGTACATTTGATTATGTTTTCTTAATTTAAAAACAAATAAATGGGTAGTTAGTTTTCGACGCCACTGCAGTGTATGTGGTTTTTATATTTTATATTTTTATTCAGAATGAATTAGAAGTCAATTCAAGGCTGTCGAGTTATTTTAAAGATGTAATACGCTTTTTCGAAATATATGGTTAATATATGGATTTAGTCACAGGTGGACATATACATCCACAGCCCAGCTAAAAGAAAAATACACAATAATTTTATTCATGATTATTGGAGACTAATAAGTGCCTGTGATGATAAGCATAAATTGGTTTAAATCGACTCACTCGAGTGAGTCAAACATAGCCTTTTTAAACCATGAAATGGCTAAAAGTCAGGTGGGCATATTGTGTATTTTGCTTATAGCTGGGCTGTACAGGGTGATCCCCTATAATGTCGCCCCCCTTTAACTTTTTTATTTTAAGGGCCCCAAAAAATTTAAAAGTGTACTTTTTTTCTACGTATAAAGAAAATTGAAAAATTGATCAGTATACAGGGAAAAACAGAAAGTTTATTTTTTTTCAATGGATCACCCTATGTATTTATTTTTCGATTCCTTGTAAAATTCTAAGCATATTTCATATAACATACCATATACCTAAATTCAACCGTTTCTGAAATATTTAAATTATTTTTAAGATAATAAGTTGAAATAGTTTGTCTTTCTCTGTCTGAGTACGTCATTTTTACTTATTTAACAAGACATATTGACATAATGTCACTATAGTAATTTATTTTCAATAAAAATGTTGGTATACTGAGGCTTCTTGATTTCTAACAGTTTAAAAAAACATTTAATGATAACTTTCGAATGCGAATATTTCAGAAACAGTTGAATTTAGGTATATGGTTTGTTATATGAATTATGCTCAGAATTTTACAAGGAATCGAAAAATAAATTCATATATAGGGTGATCCATTGAAAAAAAAATAAACTTTTTGTTTTTCCCTGTATACTGATCAATTTTCCAATTTTCTTTATAGGTTGAAAAAAGTATTTTTAAGTTCCTACATAACCAAACTTTTAAATATTTTGGGACGCTTAAAATAAAAAAGTTAAAGGGGGGCGACATTATAGGGGATCACCCTGTACATACAGCCACAGCTCAGTTAAAAGCAAAATACACAATAATTTTATTAATGGTTATTGGAGGCTAATAAGTGCATGTGATGATAAGCATAAATTTGTTTAAAACGACTCACTCAAACATAGCCTTTTTAAACCATGAAATGGCTTAAAATAGTGATTTTTCGAAAACATGAATTTTATTAAATTTTTTTGAACTCTTAGCCAATATTATTTGAAAATGTTTTCATTGCTTTTATTTAGAGTAAGATCTTTGGTAACAAACCACATTAACAAAAATTTGCTGGCAAATTGTTCTAAAAATATATGAATTTATAAAACTAGACAATTTTGACAAAAAAATTGCATTTAAAAAAAAATTCCCCCACTGATACAGGCGGGTAGACGAGCAGACGTGCTTTCGCTCTTAAGTGTACCTAATAATAATCGCTCATACAGTGTAGTTTAAAGAAAATACTGTTCGAAATTAGTGCAAAGATTTACCTGGACAAGAAAAATCAGTGTACCTGTTGTTAATATAAACCTTAAATTAGTGCAACCCTCAACAAGTAAATCTAGTGAAAAAAGACCATACGGACCCGGAATTAAGTTACAGCATACCTGGAAATCAAACCCCAGGCTAATATGAATCACTTCATGTAAAGAACAAACCAGTCTAACCAAGAGTGAAATCATCTGCAAAAATCTAATGAGTACTAATTAATCGCAAATTCGTCACAAAAACCTTATTACTGAAAACAGCCTAACAGTGTAAATAAACCAATTATTAGGTAAGAACGTCTTAAAACATAAATAAGCAAAACCTTAAGAGGCCCAGCCCCAACAAAATTAAAAAGTTTAAAACTTAAAACGAAGGAAACTAGCGGCTCAAGGCGTGGTCCTTAAACCGCCAGATTCAAAATATGAATTGAACCTTTAATCTTCGATTAAAGACAGTTTGATCATAACCTTTCCAGACTGTAATAATAATAAGTACTTTCTTGATACGTTGCAACCCAGATAGCACAAAGGTGTACTATGGACGTCCAATGGACGTATGCTCGTGGACGTCTGTATGTACATAGGATGTCCATTTTTTTTCAATGGACGTCCCATGGACATCCGTTTAGAGTCCAGATGTCACAACTTTGGACATCCATAAGTCGTCCACCGATGGACGTCTATAAGGTGTTTGAACCATTCCTCCACCATCCAGGACCTGCTTTTTTGCTTACTTTAACTGTTTTTTGCGACTGTATTTTCATTGCAATGTTGCAGAAAATTTTCTACAACATGACTAAAATGCCTTTTGTCTGGCTCAGTAACAATCCCACTAGGAATATAAATATTCTAAAAGTTGTTAAAAGTTACAACATTCAATGTTGAACATTGCAGGAAATCCTTGTATTATTATTTTTATTATTATTACAGCCGGCAATTCTTTCGGCAATTGCAATGAAAATTGCCGTAGGCATGCGCGGTAGATACATTTCGACGAATCTCTTGCAATTGCCGAAAATCGGTCCGGATGGATTTTTATTGCCGTTTTACGGCAATTCTGGGGTGAAATCTGGTAACTTTTATGTTACCAACGCTACTACAAATTCCCTAGAGAGACGCTGTTAGACTTAAACAGTTTAAGGTTATTTGTTTTATGATTGGCATTGTGTTCAAAGTTCTAGTTTCCATTTCACTCATTAATTTTTAAATATCTCCACTAAATAACAAATAAACTTAGTGTTTACAAAATCGTATATTTTTCTTCGGTTGGTAGCACGCTAAGACGCTTTGTCTTAGGTAGCACGGTAATAAACAGCAAGTTTTCTTGCCATTGCCGGCTGTAAAACAACATGCAAGACGGCCTTGAAAACCAGATGGCAAGAAAAATTGCTGCAAGAAGAATTGCCGGCTGTAATACGGCTATCAGGAACATTACATTTGCAATACTACAAGTGTTTAACATTTCATTGATAGCTTAGGTCCTTTATAGCACGCGCTTGCTTGAATGTCAGTGAGATT